GGGGGGGGTCCCGGGTTTCTCTCCGTGACCTTCCAGGACCTTTTGGGCTCTTTTTTAATGGGATTTCCACCGAATTTTACGGGATTTTTGTGGTTTTTTCACCCTTTTTTTGGTCCTTTTTAAATGGGATTTTTGGGGCTTTTTTTGGACCTTTTGGGGGTTTTTTGGCCTTTTTTGGGAATTTTGGGGTCAGGGTTTTTTTGGGTGTCCAGGGTTTTTCTCCGTGACCTTCCAGGACCTTTTGGGCTCTTTTTTTAACGGGATTTCCACCGAATTTTACGGGATTTTTGTGGTTTTTTCGCCCTTTTTTGGGGTTTTTCGGTCGGGATTTTTTCCGGATTTTCCCAAAATTCCTGAAATTCCCATTTTTTTCCAGGAGCGCTGGTTCTGGCGGGTTCGTGGGGGTCGGGTGATGTCGGGGTACCCCCTCCCCATCGGGCACTTCTGGGCCGGGCTCCCCCCGGGCATCGACGCCGCCTACGAGAGGGGGGACGGGAAATTCGTCTTCTTCAAAGGTTTGGGGCTTTTTAAATTATTTTGGGTTTTTTTTTAAATTATTTTAGGGGTTATTTGTTATTTTTGGAGGGGTTAAAATTGTTTTGGGGTTTTTCCTAATTATTTTTGGGGTTTTTTTTAAATTATTTTGTTTTTTTTTTTAGTTTTTTTAAATTATTTGGGGGGGATTTGGGGTCAATTTTGGTGGATTTCGGGTGGATTTTGGATCCATTTTGGGGGATTTTGGGTTCATTTTGGGTGGATTTTGGGTCCATTTTGGGGGATTTGGGGTTCATTTTGGGGGATTTTGGGTCCATTTTGGGGGATTTGGGGTTCATTCTGGGGGGTTTCAGGTGGATTTTGGGTTCATTTTAGGGCATTTTGGGTTCAATTTTGGGGGATTTTGGGTCCATTTTGGGGGATTTTGGGTCCATTTTGGGGGGATTTGAGGGGATTTCAAGGGATTTAGGGGGAATTTTGGGGGGATTTTGGGTCCAAATTGGGATGTTTTTAATGGGATTTTCATGGGATTTTGATGGGATTTGGAATATTTTTAATGGGATTTGGGTTATTTAAAATGGGATTTTAATGGGATTTTGGGCATTTTTATTGGGATTTTAACGGGATTTGGGGCTTTTTAAATGGGATTTTAGTGGGATTTGGGGCATTTTTGATGGGATTTTATTGGGATTTGGAATGTTTTTAATGGGATTTGGGGTGTTTTTAATGGGACTTGGGATATTCTAATGGGATTTTAGTGGGATTTTCGTGATATTTTTAATGGGACTTGGGGTATTTTTAATGGGATTTGGGGTATTTTAATGGGATTTTCATGGGATTTGGGGTGTTTTTAACAGGATTTTAATGGAATTTTGGCTTTTTAAATGGGATTTTTCAATGGATTTTCATGGGATTTGGGGCGTTTTTAACGGGATTTGGGCTATTTTAACGGGATTTTCATGGGATTTGGGGTACTTTTAATGGGATTTCGTTGTTTTTAATGGGATTTTGGGTATTTTTAATGGGACTTGGGATATTTTAAATGGAATTTTAATGGGATTTTGGGTGTTTTTATTGGGATTTTGGGTATTTTTAACGGGACTTGGGATATTTTTAATGGGATTTTAATGGGATTTGAGGGATTTATAAGGGGATTTGGGGTATTTTTAATGGGATTTGGGGTATTTTTAGTGGGACTTGGGGTATTTTAAATGGAATTTTAATGGGATTTGGAATATTTTTAAAGGGATTTGGGGTATTTTTAATGGAATTTTAACGGGATTTGGGGTTTTTTTAATGTGATTTTATTGGGATTTTGGGTGTTTTTAATGGGATTTCGGGTATTTTTAATGGGATTTGAGTATTTTTAATGGGATTTGGGGTATTTTAAATGCAATTTTAATGGGATTTGGGGTATTTTAATGGGATTTTTAATGGGATTTTTGTTTGTTTTTTTTTAATAGGATTTGCGGTATTTTAAATGGAATTTTAATAGGATTTGGGGTATTTTTAATGGGATTTGAGTATTTTTAGTGGGATTTGGGGTGTTTTAAATGGGATTTTCATGGGATTCGAGCTTTTTAAATGGGATTTTCACGGGATTTTCATGGGATTTGGGGTGTTTTTATTGGGATTTTCACAGGATTTGGGCTTTTTAAATGGGATTTTAATGGGATTTGGGGCATTTTAAATGAGATTTTAATGACATTTGGGGTATTTTTAATGGGATTTGGGGTATTTTTATTGGGATTTTAATGGGATTTGGGGCGGTTTTAACTGGATTTTCATGGGATTTGGAATATTTTTAATGGGATTTGGGGTATTTAAATGGGATTTGGGGTGTTTTTATTGGGATTTTAACGGGATTTGGGGCTTTTTAAATGGAATTTTCACGGGATTTGGGGCGTTTTTAACGGGATTTGGGCTATTTTAATGCGATTTTCATGGGATTTGGGGCATTTCTAACGGGATTTCCCGGGAATTCCCTTAGGTTCCCGTCACTGGGTGTTCGAGGAGGGGGTTCTGGCCCCCGGGTACCCCCGGGCTCTGTCGGAGCTGGGCCGGGGGGTCCCCACGGACCGAGTGGACGCGGCGCTGCTGTGGCTGCCCAGCGGCAACACCTACCTCTTCCGGGGGGACAAGTGCGTCACCACACATCTTCCAGGACCTTCGGGAGCCTTTCGGGACCTTTGGGAACCTTTCGGGACCTTTTGGGATCTTTCAGGACCTTCTGGGAGCTTTTTTCTCGGGAGTTTGGGGGTTTTTTATGGACCTTTCAGGACCTTTTTTGCATCTTTCAGGACCTTCTTGGAGCTTTCAGGACCTTTCTGGGGCTTTTTATGGACATTTCAGGACCTTCTGGGAGCTTTTTTTCCGGGAGTTTCGGGGCTTTT